TTATACTTACTACCATTTCTATGCACATGAAAGCAGTGTGCCGTATGTATTGTATGTTGAGTTGATTTAGTGGAGCAGAACTGCTTGTGCATAGTCTATATGAGTAGCATGATAGATGAGTCCCACTAACCTCAACAGAGCTGTAGATATGAGGCCAAATGTATTGTGCTGCGGTAACAAACAGCTGGGGTATGTGCTTCATGGATTGGATTAAATACAAGAACATTGTGTGTTTTTGTTTGCGCTAAATAAGGCTCATAACTTCAACTGAACGGTGGGGTATGCCGATTTTATTCTTGTAAGGATGTTTTTTTTGGCTATTGCCAAAATAGCCTTGACAACAAAGTATTTTATTGATCACAATCGAGCAGGCATTAACATTTCAAACCAGCTTCACTTTGTTGCCCCAAAATACATCCATGTGAGTACTAGTAATGTGGCAAAGGTTTTGAAGAGCATATAGCATTGATAGATTAAATACATACTTCTTCCTTTTGCAGTTTGAAAATTGTATAAAAATTCAAATCGCAAATGGTCAGATTTCTGTATAACACGTTTCAATCTTCAAGGTGTTCAAAGAGCTTTACAGCAGGGAACCACTCACCCATTCAATGTAGGCAGACACCAGGGGCATGGTGGGTTAAGTGTCTTGCCCAAGCACACAACATCAACATTCATGGGAGCTGGAATCGCACCATCAACCTGTAGATCAGTGGACCTGACCGCTCAACCACTGATGAGTATATCGACAGTGGGATTCAAACCAGCAACCAGTGGGCAAACATTCTGACCAACTGAGCCACTGTCGCTCCTTTTTTAATTAAACATTTTACAATATGAAACATGCTAGCAGCAATGCAATGGGCAATTTAGTGACATGGATTAAATAAATATTTACATAGTCATTTAACCATAGAAATCCCACCATATATAAGCTTTGCCTGCTCCATCTCACTATAAATCCGTTATTGGTTCCAGAGGAGAAACTTGACTGTGGCTCAGACAAATTACTGAGCAAAGCTTCCACATTACACATCAAAGTTAATGCATGCAAGGCAACTAATTAAATTAAAGGACAGCCAGAGTGGTTACTGCAGCGTGATGGATGAGAAGGCACACGGAGGATGGTGTAATTTGCCCATGAATGATTGAGAACAATGGTGTTAACTCCACATTGTAGGCCCCAGCACAAAAGACATGTCCAAAGTGAAAACATTAAGACGTGCGTATGAATACATGGGGATAAATCAGATATTAATATGCAGATGGATAACACTGGGGAGATACGTGGGAATACAAGAGTCTACTCAGTCATACTCATGCTGCTTTCACTATCTTAAATTTTAGTAAAAATCTAAAGGAGGCCGATTTTAATATGGATGAGGCACTATTTTGTAAAAGAAATCGACCAAAAAAATTCTGCTAATGTTTTCACTTACAACTTTCACTTTAACTTTTCAAGCATATGTGAATGATACCACCATTTTTTATGCCATTGTGAATAAACAATGCGAATTTATGTGAGATTAATGATACTTTGCATCTGGTGGCATCAACATTCCCTGGGGTTGTGAAACTCTGTACTGAAGTTAGACTTTAAGTTGAGTTTTGTTTTCACACAATCTGGCCATAAAGAACTGATTTAGCTGGAACTACAATAGATGAGCTGATTTGTGCTGATAAACTTTAAGTCCCTCTAAACTAGGGTGACCAGATTTTCAAAATCAAAAACTAGGACACTCCAGTTCGGGGTGGCTGGTAATACTAAAACTGTGAAATGAGTGCGTAATTAAGGAAAATTGTTCTGCACCGGGCCCGTTCATTATTAACATGTGACTCAGTATAGTCACATTTTCTCTATGTTTTGTTCATTTTTTAAGCAGCTTTTCTGTATTTTACCTGAACAGATGTCAGCATATGCCTCTCTTCACTATTGGCAGGGATCAAATTGGTTAAAAATAGTGACATTTCTTGTACAAAACTGGGACAAATCAGTTGTTTTGGACAAGTCTGCTGCGACAGAGGATACAAAAAACTGGGTAAATAGGGACGTCTGGTCATCCTACTCTAAACAATGAATGAATGAACATTTGTACTGATCACAGGCTCCTGAAAATGTGTTGTTTAAATCAATTTTGTATTTTTAAGTTTTCAGACAATCTTAATAATAATATGAGCATGGTAACTTCTGAACAATTCCTCATAAAAATACAAGCAGAAGCCCCCCTGTGTGATATCACAGCAAAGTATCAACAGAACAGATAATGCTACACGTTCTTTATGTGGATAGGTTCAAAAAGCTGTCAAAGGTATATTTTCTTCATAGTATTCATTTTGTGGCATTATATAGGATAAGAAAGAAAGTACTTCAACCATTGTACAGAGTCTCAAGATCATTACTTCAGTGGAGGTGATGAGGTGACATGACTGTGTATATCACGACGAACCTTGGGTAATTTCTTGGTAGCTAGCATCGGTAACAACAACATAACAATAATAATACTGCACAATAGCACAAGGTTTTTCCATACCACAGTTACAAATAAAACTTTGAACTTAACTACTTCTTGTACCATGCTTTGGTTTACAACACGGTCAAAGCTTGGATCTTGTGTGTATGTAGTTTCTTTGCCTTGCATCATTCCCTATCAGAAGAGATGACAGCGCTTTCATTTTGATGCTATATATGCTCTAACAGTCTCTAAAAGTAAGACATATATTTTTCATGATGTGCCATTTGAAGCCATTGTCAAAGTTGCAGAAAAAGCTATTGCATTTCAAGGTAAAGCATCAGATGTGATTAAAATTCTAATGGGCAATTTTTCTGTGGTGAGACAGAGTAATCAAAAACAGCACAGAATCACCCGGGGCCGAATATATCCTGTTAATGAATGTTTGTTCCTTTGATTAATAATCTAAAATAGATTTGACTTTGAATTCAACAACTGCAAATATCAAAGTGCTCATTATCAAACTCATTTACACAGTGGAAACACCAGCTGAATGAACAGGGATGGTGAGAAACAAGTACAGAAGTATTACATCAAATTATTTTTGGTAACTCATTTTGTGTCCTGTTTACAAATATTTGTTTTGGAGTGGCAAGGTGGTTAGATGTGTGTGTGTGTGCATTTTCTTAAAATTCAGCTTGTGGGTTAGTTATGTACACATATCATGTACATTGAAGTGTGCTGCTTCAGGGGCTACATATGTGTGAAATGTCAACAATGTGTTAAACTGCCAAGTCAGTCAATACTACAGTAGTCAACTTGGCTATTATGCAATTACTGATATTTTTATTGCTTAAAATATCATGACAAATAGGCATTCTCAGGATGCAATGAGATGTCTTTCCACAGATCTGACCTGTATCTGAGCCTACTTTTGTTTCTGCTCATCTTTGTGGACATCGATGAGTTTAATGTTTTACAGTGGTACATCCCAGACAAAGCAATAACAGCTCCATGGAGACAAGCAGTTGGTGCATCCTCCGCAAGAAAAGTTACACGGTGCACATTTAAGACCTCCAGCCCTGCAAAATACGGATGTTTTTCTCAAAAGGTAGCCAGAAGCGAAAGCCCTCCCTTGGCTGGCATAGCTTTACGATCACCCTGACCCTTAACATCAATTTACAGCAGTGCTCTCCTTTTGGCTTTTGTCTCAACCAAAGTACATCAGGCCAAGTCAAACTGATAAAAGACTGCACCAGCCTGGTTATTCTTTCTGTATTCTCCTCCTGAGTTTATTAGACGATAAAATGCTCTTGTGCTCTGATTGAATGCAGTGCTAGATAACCTTCCCTTCAGCAAGGTAAGAGTCTCCCCGGAGCAGTGAGCATGTGTGTTAGTGTGTGTGAAAGCACGCCAACTGTGACACAGGGAAGGACCTGCATCTAATTAGTCCAATTAAGCTTTGTGCGTTTAGTACTTTAAAGTCTGGGCTTTGTCTGACAGGCTCTAAAGAAGATGTATCTGTGTGGTGTGTGTGAGTTATATGATGTTTGAAATGCAGCATATGGTTGAAGTGTCTGCCTTTGAAGATACAAGATGGTTTCCTTGACTGTATTTATTGAGCAATACGTAATATTTACCACAACAGAATCTTAAGATGTAAAGATGATAAGAAAGTAAAGAGGTTTTCCTGTGACTTGAATATTTTAGACCAGTAGTTCTCAAACTTTTCATACCATGTACTATCTAAAAAAACAAATATAAACTATATATACAACAGGACTATCTCAGTCTAAATCAGGGTTGAACCAAGACTAAAACTTATTGATTATATACTTACTACACTTGCTGTTGTAGTTTTAAACAACAATTAACCCAAAGAAGGGCGTAAATGTTGATGATCTGACTCAGCCATTCAGAGATTATTTGAACTGAGGAGACTTTGACGAAAAAACAATATAAATGTAAAAAAAAGAAAGACACATATTGCTCAACCCGTGGTCTATAAAGCAAATAGAGCAGCTTCACACCACATTTATTCAAATGTTTTGTGAAATTTGACATATTCTGAATGTATTAGAGGCTAAAGATGAATCATGTATCTTATGTAGCTCTTAGAATATTACAAAATGTTATGATTGATCTTCCAAAAATACACTGCTGTACTCAGTGCCTCTGCGGGACACAGGGGGATTATCAAAAAGACAAAATTCTGACTTGTGTTCAAAAATCTTCTGATGCAAGGAATGAAACCTCATCTGAAGGACCTTCGTTTTAATTAAATGAAGAAAAAAACACATAACAAAGTCTCTATCAAGTAATTCTTGGTTAATCAAAGGCCAGCTTAACAAGTGAAAGTGTTCTTGTCGATTTTTGAAGCTTGTGTCATTGGTGAATAAAAGCTAGTGAAATGTCAATGTGTTAAACTTGCCAAGTCAGTCATGATGTCAGTCCACATGAAGTACCAACGCATTTGTCTATTGACCTTTTCCAAATATTAGATAACAAGAACACTTCTGATTCAGTGCATAAACAAGTCCAAAACCTTACCTTGCCGTACATCCCTCGGTGCTATGGCGATGGCGTCGTTGGAGTGCAGCTCAGTAACACAGCAGTCGTCAGGGACCATAGATCCATTACTGAAGGTGTGAGGGGTCTCCGGGAGCAGAGGGACAGCCGGGGCCATGATGTTATGGTTGGGACAAATGCACCCAGTCTGGCTCATCCCACAGCCATCTCCATCAGACACTTCCTGGTCCCCATTGTGCCCCGTCCGCAAGCATTCCTCGAACCACCGGCAAAGAACTCCACATGTAAACTGACTAGAGTTCTCATTATTGATAAGCAAAACCTCGACTAGTCTCAACTCTAGCAATTCCTTGGTTACCTGAGGTTCATCACCACTTGGATGCTTTGTTAGACAAAGTTGGACAAAGTTCTTATCAAACTGTAAGAATGAGTAAGGTCCTTCAATGGTAGATTTATTCCCACATAGTTCGACAATGTCATGATCCTTATACCCAGAAGTCTCCAATTGTAATGGACAGCTCTGATTAGGTAAGTGATGGTCCAGGGAGAGAAGCACAGGTGAGTGCATCCGACATATAGTGGGATGGCGGGTGAAGCGGAGGTAGAGGGAATACTTGGTGGGATCGGGGTTTTCCAGGGACCAGGAGCACCCCGGGGCCCTCGAGGGGAAGAGTTCTCTCAAGGAAAATGATCCGTAGAGCACCCCGGTGACCAAGCTGGAACATGGCGAGGTGAGGGGCAGCGAGCGTCCCTCTGCCACGCTGCTGGGGGCGCTGTGGGTGGGCCCGTGAGCCACCTCTGCCCGAGCAGAGAGAGGAGCGAGAGCGAGGGCGTACACAGCAGCCAGAGCCCCAGCCACGGCCAAGAGAGAGGACAGCACAGACAGACATACCCCGCCAGCAGTGTTCATCCTATGACATTGGTCCTGCAAAAGACACAAGGAAGACAGAGAGAAAGGAAAGTTAAGGAGAGCAAACTAGCTGATAAGATTCTGCAAAATAACAATAAGTGTCAATGTGAATCTGAAGATAAAGATTTAAAAGTGCACTGTTTTTTGACAAAGCAATAGCAAGCAACTCCATGCATGTGTCAGAGTGTCCACTAGGACGCTTACATAATGCACCCTTAAGAAGAAAGGTCGTACAAGATTTGCTTTGTAGAATCTAATAATATTTACACCCATCTCAATAATTAAATTTGTCACATAAATGAAAATATTAATTGGTATCACATGAACAGTAATTATACCAACCTGTTTATACAATTCTAAAAGCCTCTTTTTTTTTTTTTTTTTTTTACAATCATTAATGTCATGAATACAGGAGAGAGAAAGAACTGACTATCCTAAAATGCTGAGAATGGCAAGGAAAAGATTTATCTATGGCCTTTGCAGTTGGACTGCTTCAGCTGAACCACTGTTGCACAACTGACTGAACTTCTATTAAATTGCTAGGCTTTGGAATTGTAAGTTACTGCAAAGAAACATTTAGCTGCAGGCTGTTTGTATGATTGTATTTGTACTGTAGTTACAATAGGCTAACCAAACTAACCAAAATATAAGCAATCTGAAATCAAAGGAAAGTACATTTTCTGACTTTAATGAGTGACTCATGTAAGTTTTCTGTTTGAGGTCCGCCACCTGCTTGTGTCCACTGAAATGTAATTTCTTTGTATGTAATGTAAGGGCCTAGTTGTAAGTCAGATCAGTGGAGAGGGGACCTCAAGTAACATCTATGTTTTTCTATGTATTTTTAGCAATTAACAGCTGTACTCAAATAAATACAAGGTAGATAACTTCAATGCCTTACTGTGAGATATTCCAGGCAAGGAAATATATGCATGGAGACAAGCACGTATCAGACTCTCCACCAGAAAAGTGACTTGGGGCACTCAACAACAGTGTAACAGGGTATGCTTTTATCTTGTGCACCACTTGGCATTATTTCTTGCTCACCTTTTCTGATACCATTGCACTTAGAGACACCAGTTTTAGGTGAACTCTTCCTGCCCCACACACCCCCAGTCAAAAGCACAAACACCTCCCTGCTGGGCTGGATTAAAAGGGTTGATGACTTGGCTGTTGAGACATGCACTGTGGGCCTGCTCTACCCTTTCCCCGCTGATATGTGCACGCTCACACACACATGCGCACTCACACACAGAACACACCGCGCTGCCCGCTGAGTCGCTCCCCTGAGGCTCTGGCAAACTATTACCATCACCGACACAGCAAGGGTCCAGAAACAGCATCATTTCAACTCACACAATGCAACGGTTAAAATAAACATATCATCAATGTAAAGAATACAATTGGAGTCTAAATAGTTTTAAATAAATATGTTCTATTGTTCTGAAGAGGTCTGATTCTAATACGAAAAGATGTAAGGAATTTGAAATTGCAGTCTTAAAATGCTACACTATAAAAGGACACCACCACTTTTCTCTAAAATATGTCTCAGTGCAGTGATATTCACAGAAATGCTCAAGGTGACATTTATGGAAAGATATTCTTTATGGTTGAAAAAATACCTTTTTATTACCATAGCCTTGCTTAAATGTTGGATGATAATAACATAATTTCAGAACACTTAGGCTCCATTAGGCGGTGATAATTAAAATATGGGTTTTGTGAGTAGTGCAAAGTTTTATTGGAACAGGAAAGTTAGAAGTTAAAAAGTGGGGTGACTCTTTAGCCTATTTGCAAGAATTCTACAATATAAAGATTTTATTTGTTTGTTTGTTTTTTTTTGAAGGGTATGTTTTCAAATTGTTGAGTGAATTATTATTATTTTTTCTTTGTGTATTTATTATTGGATTATTTTCTGAAGCATACTGTTTTGACTACATTCTACCAATGACAGCCTAACCTAATACTATTTGCTTGTTATAATAGTAGAAATACAAGTCGTGCTAGTGGAATAAAAACACTATAACATGCATTTCTTATTGACACATGTGCAAGGTTAAAGAAGGTTTCACTGCAGGAAAAAAACATCTGAACGAGCCTTAAGAATGGACAACTGCACAGATGCGATAACCTACGATACAATCTCTCCTATCCTACGCCTATTTCCCAGTATTATTCACATGTCCAATTGTTATGCACCTGTGCTTCCCACGGCTTAGGTTAATGAAACTCGGTGGTCGCCAGCAGCACACTGGATTTATGGAGGTGGGCTGAGGAGCGACAGAAGCAGGCATTACTTCCACTGGGCACTAGGTAAGAGGAAGAGGAGGAGGAGGGGAGGGGGGGCAAGGGGACTGTGTCAAGAGGTGAGTGCGCACGGCAGGGCAGAGAGAGGCACTTGGGCTTACCGTGGCAGCCTATAATGACACGTAAAAGCACATGAAAGCAAGATGGAGGGCTTTTGAGCTGCACACAACAGAGCACTGCTGGGGAGAAAATACGGAGAGGTCAATTTGTGATTTAGAATAATATGCAGCTATGTATGGTTTAATGGGTGATTGTCGAGGTTTGAGTGATCTTAAAAAAGAAATGCCGAATAAATGTAATTAAATATGCACAGGTTTTCTGGAGGAGGGACTGTTTGTCTCATAACTGCTTTGTAAAGTATAATATTAAACTCTTTATTTCACTAAGGGAGTATGATGTCAGCCATTAATTTACATATGTTTTAACTGCCATGTTACCTGTGTGTCTCCATGGAGATTGCTTAGATTTATCACATTCTGTGCAACATTCTGGGCAAAACAACATCTCCAAGGATAAAAGGTTTCAGACCCTCCACCTAAAACTAAAAAACAAATATGTAATGCCCTTTTAAGAATAAAAAAGCACATTTGGTGTAAGTGAATGTGATGAATGCCTATTAGTCAGCTATGTGTCATCGGCACTGTGGAAAAAAAAAAAACAGAACAAAAAAAACAGTGACTCGAATCATTCACAAACCAGAATCGAAAAAGCAACTAAATGAATGGGCAATGGAGTGACACTGAATTGAAATCAAGGCTGACACAAAGCATCCCTTTTAAACCTACACTTAAATCACACTTTATAATGCTAATCAACAGTAACATCATCTATGGTAACTGTGAAATGTGTAGCCATGGCAACGCAGCATCACCTGACCTGGAAATGTATTTTTCTTGGCTTGTGGTAGCTTTTTCAACTTGTCTTTTGTCTGTTGTCAGAGATTGGGGTTGCACACAGTTCTCATCTGCGATTTTTCTCATGGAACGTGTGACGTGAAGAGGGTTTAAACAGGGCTGTGGCGGCCGCTCTGACACTTTGACAAATGCATGGAAGACTTGGGTTGAGGGAAGACTAATGTAGCATATTGTGAAATACGCTCAAGGACACAACGCCATTTGCTCCATATGAAGAGGTTATATTCTGTCACTATAAAGGCTCCAATACCTCCAACATGAGATCTGGGTGTATACAGCTTACTAATGAGATGCTGCTACGTTGGGGAAAATACATTGTAGATGATTCTGTGTTTTTGGTGCTGAAATAAATTCACATGTTCCTCCCAGATACTGAGCTAAATTTGAAATTGTGCCCAAAAGTGTTTCTTCATGTCCTAAATTGGAGTTCTTCCCACTGGACAGCTGCATTATGGACTTGCCCAAGCTCAGGTACATTCTTGCAGACATACTAGTATAATGAATGTATCAAGAGCCTGGGAGTGTTGAGCAAATTGTTTTTGGGACAATGAACACTGAATATTCATAGAGTCACAGCCTGTGTAAGACAAGGCCCTAAAGTGCTGTCTTCATGAGGCCATTCTGTCCCACTTCAGTCTAAAACAGCACTTTACTGTGGGCACACATACATATTCATTAGCTTTGATGTCTTCTGTTCTGCTGCACCTTGACATTAATGTTATCAGTCAGGATGGGAAATATGTATGCTTCTTTGTTGTCTCTTCCTTTCCTCAGGCTTCCTCCTGGACACTTTAAAGCACTAGTGACAATCTGACTCATCTGATCCAGTCGCGCCTGTGCGCTTCATGCAAAACACATCCAAGATGGGACTGCTTCATTATTCCAGCTCTAACCATGTTACAGTGCACATGTCCACAGCACTGCAAACCACTGCACACTGACTGACTCAAGTCCAGGCCCACTATTCCACAGTAAATCAGCATTTAAATAGACACCCGACTGAATGAGTGTTTGTATCTGTGTCTCCCACACAGTGGGAGACTGTAAGCTCTCTGCTGTAGCAAAGGCAAAGGGAACTATTGCCAATTTGATTACACTCCATGGGGCTAGAAAAGCCTGAATACAGCCAGAAAGTGAAACCCTCAGTCAATAAGAAAACATATGTTCAGGAATAATACAAAAAGATATAGCCAAAACATATAAGATATACAACACAATGCCCTTGCATTAGGTGAGGCCTCAGTCTGTGCGTTGCATGAAAGCTGCTCGTCAAATGAACAAATACTGCAGCACAGTGACTGCCAAATCTGCACTAAAACAGCAGGACTTTAGCTCAACATAAACCTGCACCATCACCCCGTTGTTACGCCAGTGTCTTTGGCTTTGTCCTCAAACACCACACATCAGGACTGGAACAAAAGGCATAGCGCCCAGTCATCTCAGAGGTGCCATTTCTGAGACCCACCTTACACACAGGGTCAGCACATTGTCACTCTGCATATTGCAAACAAGCAGCAATAATGTAGGAACATTTTTCTGATAGTTAAAAGAAAATAAATGCTTGATCAAATCATGTGCAGACACTGACGTAGGCCATTTTGAAATCTCTTTATCTGCCAAGCATCTCCACATCCACGTGAGCTCTTAGATTTCTCATTAATAAGATCTGGAGCATCTTTTAAATACTGAGTTGACATTTGAGGGAGTCACAGCTCATTCTGTCCTTTATTAAGCAGAGAGCTTGTTGTGTAGCCTTATCAGTTATTCACAAATGGCAGTCAA